AAACGAACGAACACGAACAAAAAGAATTATGTTCATTTATCATTCGTGTTTGTTCGTTTATTCGGTTAATTTAAACGTTCGTGTTCAATCGGTTCGTTTACATGCCTATAATTTATTGTTTGTGGTAGGTTTCATTAAGGTAATGATTATAAAATGGAGGACAAAAGGGTAAATTGTACATAGACCTAAGTTACATTTGTATTAATCAATGAGTTGTTACAATTTAATTTGTTGCTTGATTTTTGTGATTATGCAAATTATACAATGCTTTATCATTAAATAAAATTATACATGATCAAATAATTAATCCGAGTGAACAAATCATATTTAAAATTTTGTAAAGCGTATGCTAATTTTGTAGTAGTAATATGAACAATATGGATGAAGTGTAAACACCATGTTTACAGGTTCAACTTCCATCATTCTCATTCAAGTTCCAATATCTTAATGGTTGAACATAATTTCATTGTTCATAAGTGAACATATTTTCATAAGTGTACGATGTCCATTGTCTGTTAACATATGAAAAGATAGAATAGCCAAGTGAACTTTTGTAAACATATGTTAACATATGAGCAATGCACATAACACATGTGAACATATATGAACATACAAACACACTTGGAATATTTGAACATAATCATATTGTTCACAAATGAACCTATGTTCATATAAAGAGAGAGATCCCCATGTGTATATTAATTTTCATAATCACGAATTTTTTTTTATTAGTGGCAATTGATTAGTATATATATGGCCAGTTACAAAACATTAATATATATATGGGCAGTTACAAAACATTCACGTCTTTATTAATTTTCTCTAATAATGCTCATGTTCGTATATGTTCATTTTAGATGGTAACGCATTATATTATTAATTTATTACAAGATTATCATCATAACTATCATTCATTGATTCACAAGATGAATGGTTGTGATTGGTTCATAAAGTTAACATTATAAATTAGTTAACAAAAAAACCTATCCACATATATATATATATATATATATACAATATATATATATATATATATATATTATAGGGTTATTTAATAGATAACTGGTTAGTTTGTGATAACTGCGAGATCCAATCTCAACCACAAATCAATGGTTAAATTTGAAAACTAATAATTTTGGTAATTTGACTTAAAATTTTAATTAAAAGGCATTTTAGATATTTTAAAAATCTTATATATCCTCTCTCCTCTCTTCCTTGAACTTTATTTCGGCGAACCTTATTCCGGCAAACACATGATGCACACTGTGACATGCTTCATAAATAACAAAACAATACAGTGTGATACATTTAGTAAAGCAACATTACCTGATATATTGTGTTACACTTCGTAAAACAACAAAAATATATTGTGATACACTTACAAAAATATATTGTGATACACACTATGATACCAGATCTGGTTGATGAATACAACTGTGATACCACCATGATACTACTGTGTTACCACTGTATAATACTTGACATTACATCTTCAAAGAGATCTAGGTTACATCTAAATAACTTTTTTTTTTATTAACTTGGATATCCAACCCGCTATGCGAGCCGACTAATCTCAGAGCGACCACCTGCTTTGCAGATAGTCCGGAGTCACCGCATTTGAACCTTCGTGGCCACAAGGGGATTTTTATTCCTCCTTGGATTTGAACATGAGACCTCCTGGTACTTTTGACCTTTGGAGTCAAGCTCAAACCAATCAGGCACCACCCTTATGGTTTTACATCTCATGTGTTACATCTTCGATGAAATCTGGGTTATGTCCCCAATTTGAAATGAGATCTGAACAAAATCTAGAAACCAGATCTTTTGGGATATAAAAAACCAAAACCGATATGGGTTGTTCAACAGGGGGAGTCGGACCGGTGAAGGTGGAGTTGAGGAGATGATGACCGCTGGTTGGAGATGGATAGAGAATAAGAAGTAGTGGTGGCCGGAGATGGGCGGAGAAGGAGGCGTTGGACGGTGTTGGGCAAAGGGATCAGTGTAAAGTGTCGCACCGGAGAGGAAGAACGTTTTGGCGAACGATGGGGAAAGAGAGTTACGGGTGGTGATCTCGTCTATTCTAATATATATACATACATATATATATATATATATATATATATATCTATACTATATTATAATGCATTTGGCTAAAACTCTTAAAAACTCTTAAACTCTTAAACTCTTAAACCCGCTCATTCATAAACGATTTCATCTCTATCCGATTTCATCCCATAACTGAATTCGTGTAACTAACTGCAGATAAACATACAGGATAAACATATCATTTTAAATATAAAAAATCTAAAATATAATTAGGATAATCATTGAGTTCTAACAAAATACTTAATTATTATCTTTACAAAATGTTATATTA